TGCTAGATGTCATTCTAGTGCTCCATGTCGTTTGCTCCATTCTAGTGCAAACTGTACTGCTCCACGTGTATATCATCAGCCAGCGTGCACGACAGAAGGTACCACGCCATTCTAGTGCTACATGTCATTCTAGTGGACCATGTTACTGGACCATGTTACTGGACCATGTTAGTGGACCATGTCATTCTAGTGCTGCACGCCGATCATGGTGTTCGTGTCATTCTAGTGGACCATGTTAGCAAAGAATTTGCTATTCCAGGGCTTCATTCTTCTAAAGGATAAGGATTCTATACTGACAGTAAGACCGCCGGCAACTTGCCGCCAGACGGAGCCAGACGTCAGGAACAGAATGTATCTGGTCATTTTAATCAGCAAGTTCGCTCATTTCTTTTTCGAGCCACTACTTTTTCTTCTTTTTCTTTTTTTCTTTTTTTCTTTCTTGTTTTTTTTCCTACCCTTTTCTGTTCGCACAACAAAAAAAAAAGAAATTATGCCTCCCTCTACCATGCCATGTTCAGCATTTGACAGGCAGGGTGGCTTTATTTCTGTTCGCACAAAACGAAAAACGAGGGTTTCACCCCCTCGCCCTCAGACCCTGAAAACAAAGGGGACAGGGACACTTAGTACAATTTTTAACAATTTTTTACAATTTTTAACAATTTTTAACAAAGTACAATTTTTAACTAACACCCCCTCGCCCTGAGACCCTGAAAACAAAGGGGACAGGGACACTTAGTACAATTTTTAACTAAGTTCTTTTTCACTAGCTTGCACTGCTAATGTGTATAAACGGCACAACGTCCGCCTTCTCGACGTGCCTTCCCCTACCTACTTCTCCTCCTCGGCATCCCGTTCCCTACCTAGTTTTCCTCCTCCTCCTCCTTCCTCCTCCCTCCTTCCTCCTCCCTCCTCCCTCCTTCCTCCTTACTTGTCCTGCTTGACCGTCCAAGAATAAGATTGGTTCCACTTCCCCCAAACATGCCCTTTTCGCGAACATGCTCATAGCCGCGGTCGCCACTCGGGCCCCCCTTTCCCCGCCCACCATAGCGGTCACTCCACTCATACGCAAGACTTCCATCTCTTCCACGCGGAAAGCGCAGTACCCGCGGGCGCGGGCGCGCGCTCTTCCGCGCCACCTGGACAAGCGAACAGAGTGCTTGTTGAAGCAATGGTTCGTCGTGATTCACATGCGCTTGAGATATTTAGATCATCCATCCTGCGCCATTGAGAAGCTACTCTCTCTCTCTCTCTCTCTCTCTCTCTCTCTCTCTCTCTCTCTCTCTCTCTCTCTCTCTCATATATATATATCGTCACAAACAGAACTGCCCGGTAAAACCGTAGGCAAAGAGAGAGAAGAGGACAACAAACGAGGGGCTGTGACAAACTGTTTCGTCGGAGTTTCACCGACTCATCAGGAGGCTGAA